GGAGCCCCCATTCCCCGCACGGTCTCCGTCATGAGTTCACGCCGAAGAAGACGCTGCTGTTGCATTTGAGGGTCTTTGTTGTTGTGGGCCTGCTGGTTGCCGTTGTCCTGAAAATTGTTGGGGTCCAGACCGCACTTCAGCCGCGGGTTGGCTGAAGTTTGGGAGCTCACAATCGTCTGAAGCGCCCAGTGGATTCTCAGTTGGACTGATGGTGACTGTTTCGCTCTTCGACAGATTGTGCAGCGCACTGTTTGCGGCCGCCGTACAGGCCAACCTGAACGCGACAGCGTCTGTGCCCGCCGCTGGCTGGGGTGCAGGGCAGTTCCCCGCCGGGAACTTCCACATGTACACCGAACCGGCCAAGAGGCAAAGGGTATTACCGTAAGCAGCGCTTTCACTGCTCTGCGCACCCTCCACTGCCTGCGGACACTCCTCCCAGCCAGAATTACTCCTGTCAGCAACGCGCCAACGCAACTTTTTCGCATCGTTCGGGCACGACACCTCCACCGACACATTCACTTTAGCCGCCGTCGTTGCCCCGCAGACGGAGGGGGCGCAGCAGCCGCAGAGAAGCGCGAGGAGCGCCAGGGCGCAAACCGCACGGATCCGCACCGCCAGCGTCGTCATCGCCATCAGGCAAAATATTGGCCGTAGAGTCGCCGGCGCCAGTGAGCTTCAAGGCGGCGGGGAAGACGGAAGCAAGAGAAAAAAAGAGCGAACAAGAGAGAGAGAGAGAGAGAGAAGAGAAAAATAACACAAAGAGGGCGGCCCACCGAGTGCACGCAGCCACATGCACAAGAGAAAGCCGCACACGGCACCGCCAGCGCCGACTGCGAAGGGACCAGCCACGTGCCCTGCAATTCGTCCCGTGCCGTGTGGTTGTGTGTGTGGCTGCCGAAGTGCAGTGGGGGGAGGGGAAGGGAGGGCAGAAGAAGACTAGTGGGGCCCGGGGCGGCAGTGCGGCATTCCAACAGATTGAAGGTGCCGACAAGACCGCCCCGCCAAAAAGAGAGGAGGCATCGCCCCCGCCCCCGCCCCCTCTCGCCTGCTGCGCCTCTCTTTTTCTCCGCACCGCACGCCACCGCAGCGGAATTCATAAACAAAAAAAACAGTCGACTGAAGCCAAAATAAAGTTGCCCTCCTCCTTTGCAGAGTGCATCGTACACTCATGGGCAGTAAAACGGGCGCAGCCAACCAACGAGCAAACGACCAGAGAAATGTAAAAAAAAACCGTGAAGTGAAGCCGAAGCGTGGGGGGCGTCCACCGAGCAGTGGGGACGCGCAGCAACACGTGGGACGACCAGCACACACACTCCATCCCTCTCTCTCTGTTCCCGCACAGCCCAATCCAGGGAGAGAGGGAGAGAATGAAAGAGAGGTCGCCCACTGAAAGCAATGGAAACAAACAATCAATTAAAGAGGATAGAAACAGTTACGGTGCTGTACCCATGCAGCCAAGCAGGGCGGCAGCGGCTCGTCGGGTGCAAAAGAGGAAAAAAACCAACGGGCCTGCATGAGTGAAGATGTGTATAGTTATACGAGCACATCATGTGTGTCTGCCGCGTGGGGTGCGGCGAGGGCGAGAGAGTCCGTGCAGGGGGACAGACACACACAAAGCGAGAGAGGAAGAAACAGAGAAGGGCGAGTTGTGTGTGCACGGCCCTCTCCTTTTCTCTATGTCTCTCACGCGGCCAGCACTGCAGCGGCAGCCGCACACGCAAGCAGAAGAAGCAGCGCAAGGGGGGCGGCGGAGCGCGCGGCCGCGGTGCTGCTGCCGTCGCTGTCGCCGGACTCCGCCTTCGTTGCATTCGTTGAGGGCGTCACTGTGGCTCCTGCTCCGCCAGCCGCCGCAGTCGCCGTGACGTCGGGCGCGCCTTGAAGACCGGCGTTCGCATCCTTCTTGCCCGTTTCCTCAGTGGAGGGGTTCGCGTTGTCATCCCTGTCCGCGCCACGCGTGACACCGCCGGGGGCCTCAACCGCGCCCCCGCCGCTGCGAGTAGTCGCCCCATTAATTTCGGCGATCGCCCCGCTGCTCTTGCCGCATCCCCGCCGCCAGGCTCACCCTCACGCTGAGGGGCTTCCTCTCGTTGCTGCGTGGCATCGGGCTACGGAGCGGCGTCGGAAACTCCCGCGGCGGCGAGAGGCCGTTGAGCTGCCTCCGCTTGAACTTCAGAATTTGCATCCGTGTTGCCGTCTGGGGTGCCCGCGTCCCCTCCTTGTCTGCCTTCTTGCGTCGCTGCCTGAGCTTTTTCCTTCTCTCCTCCTCTCCCGGCAGACGGAGTATCGCCCGTTGCCGGATTTTTTCCCTTTTCTCCAACGGTCGCCGGCGGCGGGCTCCGTTGCGGTGTGCCAGGCGGTGGTGATGTTGGCACCTGTGCGAGGATTCCTGCCACTCCGGGGTTTGCTGAAGGCGCGACCGGGCCTGTCGCCCGCCTTTCCCCCTGCGCCGCATCTTGCGATGGTTCGCTGCTGCCGCCTGCGGAGTTTACATCTCCTTCTTGTTTCATGGTCGGGGACGACGACTCTTCATTTGCTGCTTGTGGGCCTTCCTCGGACCTTGTCGGCGCCTTTTCTTCCCCCGTGCCCCCGGGATTGCCGTTGCCAGCGCTGCCCCCAGTTGCGG